TGACAGTTTTTCCCAGCCTCTTTTCTTCTTTAGATACTTTAAATAATTATCAAATCAGTTTTTAAATTTCTCATTGCTGTGTTCAATAAATAGTTTGGCAAAGTGTCACTTTTGTTTCTTGAATAGTGTCACTTTCTGTTTCACTGAGAAGGCAACTCATCTCCATTTTGTTTTGTGGTCTAAATCATAGTTTCTCAGATTCTAAATTTATATGCTGTCGGCACAGCATCCGAAATCTTCATGAGTTATTACATGCTTCACTGTCATCTACCTGTTCTGTTGCTTCAGTTTCAGAGATTAGATTAGTCTGAAAGACTAGATGTGGATTATTGCTTATTCTACCAGTTGATCTTGTAATTGCTCACTGTTTCACTTGCATGAGGCATTATAACGTAATAGGTTTGCTATTTCCGTGTATTTTCAGACACACTTTGATTTCCCCCTCCTCCCACCATTAGGTACCATTAGGTGCTATAAAGTTGGTTCTGACTCATAGTGACCCCTCTGTGCAACAGAACAAAGCACCCCTCGTCCTGCACCATCTTAATATTTGCTGTGTTTGAGCCCACTGTTAAACCTGCTTAGTTCCTGATGTCCAGGGTCTTCCTCTTTTTCAATGTTTCTTTTCTTTGCCAATCATGGTGTCCTTTCTCAGGGGCTAGTCTTTCCTGATAACTTTCTAAAGTGTGTGAGATAGAGTCTCACCATCCTTGCTTTTAAGGAGCATTTTGGCTATGCTTCTTCCTAGGCAGATTTGCCTGATCTTCTGGCACTTCATGGTACTTTCAGTTAAGTATTCTTGTCCAGCACCAAAATTCAAATGCATTGATTTTTCTTCAGTTCCTTATTCAGTGCCCAACTTGGTCATGCATAGGAGGCAGTTGAAAGTACCATGACTTGGCTTAGGTGTACCTTAGTCATCAAAATGGCATCTTTGCTCCTCAGTACTCTAAAGAGCTTGACGACTTGCCTAGTGCAATGCATTGCTCGATTTCTTGATTGCGACTTCCATGAGCATTGATTGTGAGTCCAAGCAGGGTGAAATCCTTGAGAATGGCAGTCTTTTTTCCATTTATTATGATGCTATCTATTAATCCAATTGTGAGGATTTTGATTTTCTTTACATTGGGTTGCAATGCCCACTGAAGGCTGCTGTCCTTGATCTTTATCAGCAAGTACTTCAAGTCCTTTTTGCTTTCTGCAAGCAAGGCTGTGTTATTATCTCAGGTTGTTAATAAGCCTTCCTCTAACCCTGATGCTGCATTCTTCTTCATAAAGCAGGTTTTGAGATTATTCGATCAGCATACAGATTGAATTAAGTGTGGTGAAAGGATACATGCCTGATACACACCTTTCCTGATTTGAAGCCATGCAGCATTCTGTTCACATGATGGCCTGATGGTCCATGGACAGGTTTCACATGAGCACAATGAAGTGTTTGGGAATTCCCATTCTTCTCAAGGTTACATGTAGTTGGTTATGATCCACTGCCATTTGTAGGTACCTGTTTTCAAATCCATTTTTAAATAAGACTTCCACAAATATGTGAAGTCCATAAATTATTAGATTGGTTTTATATTCAGTTGTAATGCTCCCCATTTCCTAATAAATAAAGGTTTAGGTACGTGATGCTGGGCTTACTTTGTCTGTAATTAGCTTTAATTCTCTTATATAAGCCTATATAAGGTTATCTAAGTACAGTAAATAAAACTTAGTGAAGTGATTATGAAGTTCTAGAGTTCTGTCACAGAATAAGAAAGGAGCTCTGGTGGAGTAGTGGCTTACGAGTTGGGTTGCTAGATGCACGGTCAGCGGTTTGAAACCACCAGCTGCTGCGTGGGAGAAAGATGTGCCTTTTTACTCTAGTGAAGAGTCCCAGTCTCAGAAACCCCGCAGGGGCAGTTAGGGATTAGTCTGTGAGTTCTGTGTAGCCACTGCAATGTCCATTGCAATGGATAGTAGAACCAAGAGATCAAGGACAGAATGCTAATTAGGAAAACACACCGTACACAAGTAAAGCTAGTTTCTATTACTTTTGGAAGGATTGCTGATTAATATGGCTTTTTAATCTGCTTTTTTGGGAATAATGTAGATGTTTAACTTCTATCCTACTGATATTTTGGTTAAAGAAGGTAATTGGTATTATAATAAAATATTGAGAGTGATTTATGTATAACAACTGCCACAAGAATATCTGGCACTAATTTTATAATAAGATTGATTAGTTTTAAATGCTATATGTGACATTTTATGAAAGAGAAAAATAGTGTTGTTTTTTTTTTTGCTTTGTTCTTTAATTCTTGAGCATTCTGTTTTCCTATGTGAAATGACATGCCTTTTTTGCTAATGGCATTGTGGGAGGGATATTGCTGTCAAAGCATACGGATATTAGTTTAAATTCTACTTGTGCCGGGATTACTTTTTTCTCATCTACAGAATTGAATTTTGAAATTAATGCACTTTCAGATTATATGAATTCTATTAGTATTTCTTAAAATTAACTTTTAACTTTAATGTTCCTGGGTTGTAAATTTATTTTTATATTGCATAAATCTGTAATCAAGATTAGCTCATTTAATGACCGGATTTGAGTACAGTGATCAACTTATGCCCTACGTAAGTTGATCTTAGCTGAAAGAGAGGCAGTCCCTCTCTGGTTTTATTTCTAGGAGGAGAGCAATCAGAGACAGTGTGAAAGGTAAGTAAGAGACTTGTCCCTTCAACACTGGATGGACTACCTGTCGGCAAAAGTCAAACTGCATGGGTGTTGGTAAAGAAGGGTAATCAAGTGAGCATTGGACACTCGGTGGTGTTTTTGGCAAGTTCACCTGTCTTCAATTAGGGTTATAGAGGAAACTATGAACGGGGTTAAATTATGAACTTAAAAAAATAAATTATAAATCTTTATTAAGTATAAAGATGGCAATCTGCTTTTGATAAATTTTCCCTCTTTTAAAAAATTACTTAAGTACTATAAACTGTTTTGAGTCAATGTTCTTTTGGACTATGAAGTCCAGATATTTGATGTGTATGGTAAGAAAGTCAGGCTAGAGTTGAAAAAGGACAGGAAGTGAGTAGAAGGAAAAAAGAAAGCATTAACTTGAATAGCATGCTTAGCCCTACTATCATAATTTATTTTAGGCAACGTGCCCCATGTTCTTTCTAAGATTTAATAGATCACTTTCTTAATCTTTCATATCTACGCCGTGATGGGTGTTTAACCGAACACAGAGAAAGATTTTCCCAGTTCCTCTGAGAAT